TCTTTTCTTCTGTTGGGTTGGCTGAATATGCCAGGATGCCAACTGGAGGCTGCTGGGATTAGAGGTATGTACCCAAATACTTGGCAGCTATCACAGCTCTAAAGTCTCAGTAATACTCAAGTCTTTTCCATCTTTTTAGCAGAACAATTTGAGGCCATAAGAAGGTTATTTCTCCTATGGAATGAAGTTAAGGAGAGATGAAGTAGAAATTCTTTGCCCAAATGGAAAGACATAAATGAAAGTATGTTTTAGGGAAAATGGGACTTGACTATTTTTAGCTTTGATTATCCTAACTAAAAATATCCTTCTAGGGAAGATACAGCCTTTCCCAAAGCTTCAGGAAGAGTAGAGTTTAGTAAACACATGCTTTTTCCTTCTTTCCCAGAAGCCCTGATAGTTTATTTTAAAGCTAATTCTAGGGTAAGTCCTTTTGATCTCACTGTTCGAATTTAGAGAATTATAACATAGCTGTTTAATTCTGGATAGAAAGAGAGATCTTAGAGATCTTAAGAGGAAAAAAAAAAAAACACCTTAGATTTATGTTAAATTATTTGAGTTTAATGGCAAAAAGCTCTTCATGTTCAAAAAGACCCAAAATCTCTTATGATCTTTGTTGTTAGAAGAAAATAACCAAGTGCTCTTCAAATTATGGGTTTGGTCTCATGTTTTGAAAGTTGCCATCTCAGTTGATCTCTTAATGACATGTCTACATATCCCAGGGAAGGTCAATAGAAGCAAGGACTTCTCTTTTCTCTCCTTTCTTGGTTAACCATCCAACAGATTCAGAAGATAAATTTAGGACCCCTGCCCTGGTCCCTTGGGCAAAGCATTCTTCCTCCAGGTGTCCTGAGAATGTCAACCTTTGTCCGTTTTTTGGCAAGTGATGTAGTATGGAATTATGGAAGGTACCCTGTACTATACTCCATGTGCATTTGGGTATACTTATATTACCCCCCCATCCCTGGCTCTGTTATTTTCATTTCTTTTCTTTCTTTCTTTCTTTCTTTTTTATTTTTTATTTTTTTGGTCTTTTTGAAACAGCGTTTCCCTGTAGCCCCATCTGGCCTGGAACTCACTATGTAGACCAGGCTGGCCTTGAACTCACAGAGATCCAACTGCCTCTACCTCCCAAGTGCTGGAACTCCAGGCATGCACCACCATGCCTGGCTATTTTCATTTCTTAATCATTATAGCACTTTGGATTTTTTTCCTCTTCTTTGGCTTCCATTTCCAAAAAAGAGACTAGAATTTTCCTGTCTGAATACCATTATATAAGTCCTGACAACATCATAATCCTCTCATTACTAACCCTGAAGGATGTGTTTTTATGGGTAGACATGGAATAATTAGAGATGGGATAATTATAATTATTGTTAGGCATATTATATTCTTTATAGAAATAATTCTTCTTGTTAATTATACTGTTAGAAAGTATAAGAAATATACATGAATCCAGATGTTAATTATCTGTGAATCCACAAAGGAAGACACTTTTGTGAGCAATAACAAAGCACAGTAAAAATTCAGTGGTTTGGGTCTAGAAAGATGGCTCAGTGGTTAAGAGCACTGGCTGTTCTTGCAGAAGACCTGGGTTTGAATCCCAGCACCCACATGGTAGCTAACAGCTGTCCATAACTGCAGTTCCAGGGTTTCCAATGCCCTCATCTGTCCTCCTCGGACACTGCATGATACAGGTGCACTTACACACATGCAGGCATAACACTCATACACATAAAATAAAAAAAAATTTAAATTCAGTTATTTTGTTAGACTAATTCCCACTGTATTTTGTCTCTTTCAATTCTGCCCAATACCAGATCTTTCCTCCCTTTGCCCCAGGCACCATTCAGTTTTCTACACAGGGTTTTTCTATTCAATTTACCTTAAGTCCTTTCTACCTTATCCAATTCATTTGCTGCAAGAAACATGGGTGTAAGGTACACTTCTGATATACCAAAGCATTTCCTGACAAGGCCAATCTGTCCTTAAGGACCTAGAATAATGGTTCCTCAATATGTGCAATTTGCACTAAGGGATATATGGTAATGAATATCTAGAGACTCTCAATTGGTATGTATATAGGGAGAGTACTGGCAGCTAGTAGGAAGAGGGAAGTCCTGTGCAACATGCAATGCACTGGACTCTCTCACAAAAAGGAATTATCTAGCCCAAATTGCCAGAAACTGCTGTAAAGTAATTCTTGTATTAACTGCAATTAATAATCAGTAACTTCTTTCTCTCTTTTCTTTTTCCTTTTACTTCCTCCCTTCCTCCCTTCCTTCCTCCCTTTTTTTTTTTTTTTGGCTCGTTTGAAACAGGGTCTCTTGTAGCCTAGACTGGTCTTGAACTTGCTGTGTACTCAAGGATGATCTTGAGTTGGTCTTCCTACCTCCACCTCCCAAGTGCTAGAATTATAGACATATCCCACTATGCCTGACTAATCAAGTGATATTTTCTATTCTGCTACTGCAACACTTTATTCTATATATTGAGTTATAAGTCAGGAACTGTGGTGATTTGAATGAGAAATGTCCTCTATAGGCTCCAAGTGTTAGAATACTTGGCCCTAGTTGGTGGCACTATTTGGGGAGGTTTAGGGAGTGTGGTCTGTCTGGAGGAAGTACATCACTGGGGGTAGGCTTTGGAAGCCCATACCACTTCCAACTTGCCCTCTCTGCTTCCTGAGAGTGATTGAAGATGTGAGTGCTCAGCTTTCTGTTCTGGCTGCCTCTGTGGCCATGCCTCCTTGCCATGATGGATGGACTCTTATCCCTTTGGAACTGTAAGCCCAAGTATGCTCTTCCTTCTGTAAGTTGCCTTGGTTGTGGTGCTTTGTCACAGCAACAGAAAAGTAGCTGATACAGGAACCAACCCAGAAACTTAGTTCAGTGAAGAAATAGACAATATGAGGAACTGTGATTTCATAAGGAAGATATATGCAACCTAGGATTTGCCAAAATATTTTGAAGGATTCTTCAAGGGAAGAAAGGAAGAATAGGCAGGAGAAAGGCAAAGAGAGGGAGAGAAACACATTTCTGGAAAAGGGAGGAACATGGGTCAAGACAAGTAAGAAAAACAGGCAGGAGCAAATCCTGAGACATCCACCAGCCAGTCTGAAGAGGCAGCGGAGCCATTTAAGGAAGGGTTGGTTGATAGTGATGGCAGAGTAACCAATCCTTTGGAACAGTTACTATTTCCACACTTTTCAGATGAAGAAACTGCAACTCGGAGACTCTAGTAACTAGTAACCTAAGTTGTTCATATTCCCAGTTCTGTGGGCTTCACTTCTGTCTTCAAAGCAAGACATCAGGTTACCCTGCAGATGCTTCAAATAGTATATGTGTATATAGTAACTATAGTAACTGTAACTCTCATGGAAGCTTGCAGAATGTCCCACTGAACTAGTAAGTTTTGGTCTATAATTATTTAAGTATTTTCTGGGGTGTGGTAGCACACCCCTCTGATCCCAGCACTGGGGTGGCCTCAGCAGAAGGACTAACATGAATTTGAGGCCAGTCTAGCTATATAGTGTGGGCTTGGTTTTAGAAAAAAAAAAACCAAAAAAACCAAAAAAACCCTTCCATCCCCCAAATACAACCATCTAGCATTTTACATGCAGAAAGTTATTTACTAAATATTTAATAGAACAGTTCTTAGATAGTGAAAAAGAGATATCTCCTGTTTTCTTTAATCCTCTTGTTGGGTTTGGCCTGACCAGAGTGCAGGCAGCTGGCAGAGATGGTCCAGTCAATGGCTTCCTACCGCAGCAGGAACAGTTGCATCCCTGAAGCTTGTTAGCCGCAGCAGGAACAATTGCATCCCTGAAGCTTGTTAGCCAGCTCTTCTAAACAGACCCACTGATTACAGCCGGTGCCAATATAAAAAGGGTTGAACAAAATAAGCCTAGGGAATAAACAGAAACCATCACCCCAATCCAGATGGTCTTTATTCATAAGAGCAAATGGGTTCCAATCCAGCCTTTAGATCTAACTTCCAGGAGACAGGAAATACTGAGAAAGAAAAATGTTTAAGACACCACAAAGAAGCCCTAAGACAAATCCAGAAGGCAGCCTGGTGTTTTCAACACACAATGTCATTCCAAAAAAGGGAGAAGGGGAGAAGGAGGCCTTTCTAGGATAGAAGTTTGCAGTCAAGTGGATTGCTTGTTCATTGACTGGCTTTTGGTTTGGGTAAGTCAGCTGCAAAAGATATTTGGGGGCCAGATAGGGAAATCCGAGTCTGGGCTGGTTATGAATTGGCAATTTTGTTGGCTTTAGTTACATGTGAAAATGGTATTATGCCAATGCAGGAGAGTGTCATTTTAAAATGTATATGGGAATATTTAGGGGTGAAATCGATCTAACTTTAAAGGTGAAATAAGTAAGGCGAAGTGCAAAGTGCAAAGGACTGCTAAACACAGAAGCTGGGCTTCAGGTTTCCGTTATTCTAGTCTTTGTGCTCCATATTGAGCGTTTTCTTTTCTTTTTTCTTTTTTTTTTTTTTTTTCTTTTTAAATCACTGAAAGTGAACAACCAACTAGAGAAATAAGAATAAAGGATAGCTTCGTTTTCAGGAAAGTGGAACCGATCTTTATCTTCCTCCGAAGTCATGAGTGGCCTGGAGGAGCCTCCAGCGAGGCTCCACGGAGACTTGGAAAGATCGCAGGTAGCTTACCCGCGTTGGCCAACCTGTTCTCCTGGCACCCTTGACCCCGCGCACCCCTTCAGGGCCACTCCTGATACCGAATAACTTGTCACGGGTGCCAAACCACGAAACTTGGGGTTTCGACTCTAGGAGGCGGTCCTGGGGCCAGACTGGGCGGAGAAGGAGGGAGGTGGGAGGAGGGGGGAACACTAAAGGCCCCCTCCTCCCCTCCCGCGAGGTTCCCAAGAACCCCTGGCGGCGAGCCGGGGACTGGAGCCTCGGGTCTCGCCCACCTAATTAATCCACCTGGACTGGGGCGGAGCAGGCTAGGGAAGCGGCCGCCGGTGCCAAGGCCATTACCCTCACCCGCCGCCAGGAGAGCTTCTGGGGCAGCAGCGGGCGCGGTGGAGCGGGAGTCCAGCTGCAGGTGAGGGCCGCTGGCCGTGGTGGGCTGGGCAGCTCCGCGTCCCCAGGGGGAACTTTCTTGGCCCGGAAAGGTGCAATTGTGTGCAGCTATTCCTGGTATGCCAAGCCGCGAGCCGCGAGGGCGCCACCTCTGGGGGCCCCGGGACCGGGAAGACGGCCAAGGCGGGAAGGATGCAAGTCGGGGGGCATCTCTCCCTGCGTCGCGTCTCTGAGGGACCGTCCCATCTCCCGCTCCAAACCAGAGAGGCTGCGGCCGGGGACACCCGGGACCGCAGCGGGGGGCGCACGATGAAGCGGGGTTCCCCCGGCGGGGGGCGGGGGGGGCGGGGCGGGGCTACCGCCCAGAGGGCGGGACTGCGCTGCGACTTTTGAAGTGTACCCTGGAGTCCCTGCCCCGGCTGCGAGCGGCTTCTCCGCTCCTTCACTCCCCTCCTGCTCGGGTCCCAGTGGCCTGAGTCGATTTCAGGAATTTCGAGAAAGCAACGCTTAGAAGTTCTGGTAGATTCCTGAACTTAAGCCACGGATCACAGCAAAGGGAAGGGGACGCGTGGGGACACTGTTCCGGCGCACACCCACTGACAGCCTCTCTCCCTCTCTTGCCCTAGTCATGGAAGGGGTGGAGGACGCAGAGGCCGATTGCTCCATGGCGTTCGCAGAGGCGCAGAGATGGGTGGAGGTGAGTAGCTTTTGCTTTTCTTTGCACAAGAGTTTGCGGAGTGGTTCTGGTCACTCTGAGCATGAGTCTTGGTGACCTAGCCCGAGTAAAGAAGCGGCAGTTTGCGGGACTGTGCAAGTTCAGCCCAATGTCTAACCCTCCCACTGGGTCTCGCTGTGCTCTGCAGGTCTCCCCAGCTCTCGCCTGTTCTGTTTCAGGACTGTGCATCCCACAGGATCGGTCCAGGTGCGGTTCTGTGAGAGCACATCCCAGAGCGTGGCGCAGAGCCCGCCGGGGTCGGGTCCTTGGGTGCATTTCCTTGGGATGGCGAGGATGGGGATGCCTATCACGCACCTGGACAGGCTGTGAGAGGAAGGGCTGTGGAGGGAGGCTTTCTTCCGACAGCAGAGGGCCCAGAATGGGCACTTTATTTATTAGTGTTGATGAGACCAAGCTATCCCAGGACCTCTTACAGATGGCCTGTTCTTACAGCTGCGTGGAGACAGTTTCTGCATCATTGTGGTGAGACTGGGCTTAGTTTTAGTCTCCCAACAGTTGAATGTGTGAGCATGCTTGTGTGCCTGGGCTTGTGCTCAAGGCCTCCCACTCTGTGCTGTGGGACTGAGCTACCACCCCCTGCTCTGAGATGACTTTTAAGATGGGTCAAAAGAAGCCTTCCAGACCTGGGATTCAGAACAACTGCTTGTTATAAAATTGTCTGCACCAGCCTTTAAGTCATGTTGGAATTTCCGGTGCCACATGCTGTTTTAGTCAATAGCTAGGACTTTCTCGGGGCCTGGAGCTTGCAGGCAAGAGCTGTATCCCCAAGCCACACTCCCAGTTCCCAAACATATTTTAGAATTCAAATTAAGTTTTAAAATTCCATGAGGAAAACAACACATTCAAGCATCTCCCGGAGCCAACTGTATTATAAAGTAATAAGTTTTTCTTTAAAGAAACACATGTAGGGCTCAGTGGGTTTCACAAAGGTGAGGAGTTTGATCTCCAGTATCCATCTAAACAGCAGTTTGTAGCCCCAGCACAGTGATGTAGAAGGATCCCCGAGGCTTGCTGGCCAGCCATTGTAGCCTAAATGGCTAGCTCCAGGTTCAGTGAGAGACTGTCTCAAAAAATAAGGAAGAGAAGCCATTGAGAGGGACAGCTAACATTGATTTCTGGCTTCCAAATGTACTGGCACCCACATACACACCTACACAACAGGAACAGGTGCACATAAAAGTTAAAAGAAGATGTATGGGAAAAAATAAAAGTAACACATTTTATTTTTAATTCATTTTAGCTTTTTAGACAGGCTCTCATTATGTAGACCAGGCGGGCCTTGAACTCACAGAGATACACCTGCCTCTGTCTCCCTAGTGCTGGGATTGAAGGTGTGTGTCACTACTCTGGTGATTATAACTTTAGATGGTACATCTTTACTGCTTAGTAAAAGGACATGAAATGTGTGTAGCATTGTTTACTAGACAGTAGGGATGTCTCATAAATTAGCTTTCATTTTCTTCATAGAGTAAAACTTTGAGTTGGTCTCAAGGTGACTTAGAAGGATGTGAGGGGAGGGCATGGGAGGCTGGGAGAGGGATAAACACTGTATTTTGAATTGAAATGAGAATGGAAAAATTCCAGCAGTGTAGTTAAGAGAAATAACTTTGCTCATTCATAAACCTGGAAAAGTCAAGGCTTCACCTGTAATTTTCCATTAGTGGTGTTTGCTATGCACAAATTTAGAAAGCAGGTTAAAATTTTAGAAAACAAGTTAAACTCACTTTCTTTTTGAGTGGAGGAAGGAGGCAGAAGGATGGAAGGACTCTGAATACATTTTGTCCATATGTGGCTCCTGGGTTTGGTATTGATATGTTTTGGTCCTACACAACTCTGGGGTGGTGTCAGTATTTGCAAGATTTGCACTTGCTTCTGGAAATCTGTGCATATAGATCATTTCATACTCTTTTCTTAGAACTTAGATTTTAGAAAAATCAGTATTACTTGTTTGTCCTCATAATTACATAGGGTTTATGGGAGGAATGTATCTATTGTGAACTCCTGGAAAGTGTCACTACATAACACTGTGTGTGGTAAACATGCTCATCTTCCCACTTTATCCCATTCTACACAGAGTCTTATCAGCAATGATTTGGCAGCTTGGTATGTGTATGCTCATTATTCATGAACAGCAGAGTGTTTCTAAAGGTATTGTCACATTCCTTTAATATAGTTAGGGAAATTTAAATTAAAATTTTTTTTTCCCCCAAGGCACATGCCTTTAATCCCAGAACCAAGGAGGCAAAAGAAGACAGATCTCTGTGAGTTCAAGGCCAGCCTGGTCTACATAGTGGGTTCCAGGCCAGCTGGTGCTACAGGGAGACCCTGTCTCAGAAAGATCCCCTGCAAAAAATGTTTTTTACCCTCTGCTGCTTGGACCACTGCCAGATGGTCACTGAATATATCTGAATAATCATACATTCATATCTTAAATTTTTTAAATTAAATATTCATTAGGCATACACTGGTTATTTGGAATGATGCCAGTTAGTTCAGTGTTAGATTTATTTTAATTATCTTGTTAGTTTTTTTTTTTAACAACCAAAGTACATATTTTAAAATACTGTTGGGGGCGCTGGAGAGATGGCTCAGCGGTTAAGAACACTGGTTGTTCTTGCAGAAGACCTGGGTTCGAATCCCAGCACCCACCTGGCAGCTAACAACTGTCGGTAACTCCAGTTCCACTGATACCCTCTTCTGACCTCCATGGGCATTTCAGGACACAGGTGTTTTTATATGACATGCAGGCAATACACTCATACACATAAAATAAAAATAATAAATAAAATTAAAATACTGTTTTGCCTGAAGAAGCAGAATCAATGACTCTTATTGCCAGAGCCTATTAATTTTAAGAACCCCTAATTTGAAGATAAGACATTGATTCCAAAATATTTTATAGAGCATTTTGAAAAGTGGACAAGGTTTTAGAATGATTTTCCCATTTGCTAATATTCTTGCTCGATTTTGTTTTCTATTGGTTCCCTCTACATATATTGTAATAAGTTTTTCATTAATATTTATGTTTATATGTATGTACACATGGCTTATAGCATGTAACATTGTGTAGAATATAGCCTACTATCTTTATTTTCAGGTACAGTTTTCTATGTAATTATACTTGTGGTTATGGCAGTGTTGGGAGCTAAACCCAGAGCCTCACTTACTAAGCGAGTGATCTACCACTGAACTATACCCGACCCCTTCAGCTGTAGTTTTGAATATCTCAAGGTCAGAAAAGCCCAATAACCTTGTAAAATTTTGAATGATGACCAGACTCCATGTCAGTATGTCCTTCCTATTTCCATTGTCCATTTTGTGACTATGAGTAGCTAATGTGTTATTCTTACAACCAAAGTTAAAATTACTAGAACTCATTTTTTTGGAGTTAAATGTGAACATGAAATGTGAAGACTACTGTAATTTTATTGATTTTCTTTTGATTCATTTTAAATTATATTTAAAAATTTTAAGAAAAGATAATATATACTAAACTGGCTTGTCTACACAGGGACTAATTTTATAGTCAAAGTAAGATATACTGATAACAGATTATTATTTAGGTGAAAATACCATTTGGAATATTAATAATGTAGGAAGGCTAGTTTATGATTAAACATTGGTTTAAAACCATGTTATGTAATGGTTTGAAGGCAAAGCCCTTCTAGCAAGGTCATGGAGTAGGTGATGAAGTGGTAGAAAATACAGCCTGGACTCTGTAATTTCAGTTCTCTTCTGTAGGGCCTTTTAATTTTCAGACCTAATAGTTGCTTCTGTATGGTTTGGGACAAAGCCTTATAGTAAACAGATAAAATATGGATGAGATTAAAAAGTAGGTATGTTATTCATTGAGTTGCTTGATTGCTGTCTCCTAGTCTGTGAGTTAATGTTGCAGTCTAGGTGTGAGGATACAACACAGCCGTGTTTATGGCTGGGGAAGAACAGGTGTACTTGATTCATCATCTTCCTGCTCCTCTGCTCTTCCTGTTATCTCTGGGTTTGATTCTTTCGGTATCACTATCATCCTGTAAAAGGACCGAAGGGTGTCAACGTGAATTCATTGCCAAGTCTGGCACTAGAATATGAGTCCTGCATCTCTGTTTACTTCCAGTTGGTCTGGTACTCCACCTGCCCCAATTTTAATCTTTTAAAGATGTGTTGTATATGTTTTTACTTACTTTGTTTTGCCTTTGTTGTTAAAGAGTTTGTGGAACTTACAGAATTCTTTGGTTTTAAAGAATTGCACTTTGTGGGTCCCCCATTGCTATTAGCAAAGTCCTAGCCCTCTTTCTCCCTAAATTACATCCTTTCTAGCCATGGTCGCCAACCTCTGGTCTGTAAGACACTGAATGCTCAGTGTACATCAGTGTTGTCTGTAGGCACATGAATGTCTCATGAATGTGTACTGTTGCTTTTCACATGTAGATAGAGTGACAGAAGTAACAGTCCATTGAAAATGTTACTAAATTCATAGAAGTATTTTTGTAATCATGTATAATTTGAGTTGCTAATTTAAATTGTTAAAAGTTTCTCAGGATAATGAACTCTAAGTTAATGTGATATTTAAACAGAATGTAATCTACATTTGTAACAAATAGGTATGTCTTAGTCTATCACAAGGAATCTGTTCAAACTATGGTTAAGTAAGACAGATGCCAGGACTCAACTGTACCTCATTTCTATTTTGTTTTCTTTGTGTAATTTCCTTTTCTGTCTATAAATACAATCTGCTCAAATCTTGGGGTGGAACATTCTCCACTATTTTTGGTCTATATAGCTGTTTTAAAAACCATTTAACTGCCTGGTGTGGTGGCACACGCCTTTAATCCCAGTACCTGGGATGTAGAGGCAGGCGAATCTCTGTGAGTTCCGGGCCAGTTTGGTCTACATAGTGAGTTCCAGGTCACTGGGGTTACAGGAAGACCCTGTCTCAAAAAGACAAAAATCAAACAAACAAAAAA